TGGCACATACTAATCTAATCTAGTTGGTAACTAATAAAAATAACCAATAGTGATAATTTGAATCAGAAAAAATTTTTATTCTAATTAGATAAAAAATAATTTTTTTGGTTGCTTTCAAATTTTATTTAAAAATTAGTTAAAATACAATACAGCCGAATGATCTTTTGGAGTAAAATTTTAAAAGTTCAACATATTGAATTTTATTAGTAAAATATACTTCTTAAAACTAATAAACTCCTATTTAAATTATAAGAAATAAATGAATATGCATGCTCGATATACCACATAGAGGAATAATAGTGATGATTAGTTATCGAATATAATAATTCAAAATTTATAATTACAAATCATAACTTGATTCGATTTCAAAATTATCAACTCCTTTGAATCTATTGTAACTGAAGTTTTGAATTGAGAAAACTATTAAGCTTTTTTAGTTTAATTTTCTGAAAGCTTATTATCACTTAAAATTCAATTTATCTGATTTTAATTTTGGCCAAATTTTTTTAATTCTGATTAGAATTAAAGAATTTGTTATTTTATGAAAATTAAAACTGAAACTAAATAACAAGCAAGATCCTAAATCTAACTAAGGCCCATCCTAAGAAAGATTTTAATGATAACTATTTATTTACATGATTTAGTTATCATATATAGTGATACAATAAAGATTTGAAAGGGTAAGATAGAATTCTTATTTGATTATAGAATTTCAGAAGTCTATTCTCAAGTTTCTTTACCATACTTTCATTAATCAAGTCGTACTTTATACAAAAAATTTCAAATTCTAGCTTTACTATAAAATAATTAATAACAATCTATAATTATGTATGATAAAAATTAATATAGAATTAAAATGTAATATAATAATTCTAGCATACATATTTAATAAGACATTCATAATTGATAAAATATTTATTTTTGATATTTTTGAAATTTTTGATATTTCTTTGCAGTTATTATATTAATTTTTTATAATACTAATGATTGGTCAATACAAATAGGTCTGATAATTTCTGAATATGAATTATGTTCTGATTGCAATCAATCAAATACTTGGTATAATTGATGTCAAAATTGCAATTCTAGAAATTTCACCAAGATTTTATAAATGGACTAGTAGAAATAGGCTTATCAATAAAATTATTCAAGTTAGACAATTGAAAGCAAAAAAATCAGTAGAATTTATAAAATGGATATCTTATGAAAGTTTTAAAAATATATAACATCTTTCTAAAGACAGGATCAGTACTATTTATAAAGCTATTTATACAAACCCCTGTTAAAAGTCTCCAAATATCATCTTTTGGTTATTTCATACTAAATACATCATATGAATATTTAAAAACTGTGATTATATAATGTATCTAACCTTGTTTGCTTGAATCAAAATTAAATAAAAACGTGTTTTATTTGTTTATTTTGATTTTTAACCAAAATAAAATTTTATCTTCTGAAATCACGAAAATGTTTAACAGAACAACGTGATAGTATAAATTTTACTATCAATGTGATAATAGTTAATAAGCTATTACTGCAAATATCAGTTGTGAATTTTTAATAGCATTTAGAATTTTAAAAAGAATGGATAATACTGGAACTATTAATTTAAGGTATATTATTGGTTGCAGATAAGTTTAGGTAATCATCTTTTTTTTAAGAAAAATTTTCGTTATGATTCTCTTTAATTCTACTTCTTTTCTATTTTAAATAATATAAATAGTAGTATTTTTCAAATCAATTTAAGAATAAAGTTAAAATTTTTAAGTATTTGATGTATCAAGCTTTACTTTAAGTTTGCTACTATGATATAATTATCTAACAAATACTTTCTTTTTCTTTAGATCACTTTTTTTTATCAACAACCCTATTACTTCTTTTTATTTTTAACTTGAATTTTATTGTTCTTTTTCACATTTAGCAGTTTAGATATTATGCAACTTCTTTGTCTATGTATTGGTCAAAATTTACTGATTAAATAGTTGTGAATAAAAGCCTGTAAACTGTAATTTTTTTTATCTTCTTTAACTTTTCTTAGTAAGACTTTTTCAGTCAAGTAGTTTCTGATTTCTTTAAGCATTAGGATTTAAATAGAAAGTGGTGACAGTATCTACTAGCAAAAGATTTCCAGTCTGTCTATTTACTTATTAATGTATTTAAACAATATGTTTATCTGAAAAATCTGACCTAATATTCTGGTTAGTATTAATGGGTAGTCTATTTGAGAAGAATATTCCTAAATACATTCATTATATTTGATTAATCATCCTTATTATGATAATACCTTTCATAATATATAAATATATTTAGAGCCAGAAGTAATTAGAGTTCTTCTTTAAGAGATTAATGATATTAGATTACCTTAGATGCTTATAATCCATTTATTTAATTCGTATTTGATCATAAAACTTGAGTTTAGTAAGATTTTTAAATTTTCTTTTTCTTTTTAATTAGATTAATACATTTTTTACACATTTGGAAGTAAGCTATTAAAATTACTATTTACTATATATGTAATTCAATTTTAATAGCAAACCTCCATTTTTTTTGAATAATTTTATGTAAATTAAAAATGATATTAAAGGATAATCAATTTAAATAAAATTAAAGATTATTAATTAAATTAATAATACTTTGATAAACTTACATATTAATGTTGTATTAAAGATGAATAAAAAAAATTAAAAAATAGATTTATTTATAACATTCACGTCTTAACTTTCAAAAATGGTAAAATAAAAGAATATTAATATATTTTACTCACTAATTATTTTAATTTAAATTTTTTAATACTTGGTAAAATAATTAATTGCATAGTCTAGATATGATTTCTATAATATGTAATGAGAGTAAAATTTTTTGTATAATTATCTTAACTTTTAAAGAATCACGCTGAATTAAAAAAAAATAATATAAAATATATATAAGATTATATTAAATATAAAGGAGTATGTTTTTCAAATGACCTATATGAGCATTGAAATGTAGTTTAATTGCATTTTTAAACACTTTGACCTTTGAAAACAAATACAAAAATAAAAGCAATATTTGCCTTATATTTTAGTAATATGTTAACTATATTTTTACTGTTTATTTTCTAACAAACTATTAGTTACTATCATGTGAAATATTAAATTTTGTGATTAATCCTCATATATTTATTAATTCGTAAAATAATGTCATTAATAGTATTGTATTTGAAAATCCATATTTTTATTTCCTTTTCAAAGTTTTATTATTATGGCTAAAGATTAAAATTCAACTAATTTAAATCTTTAACTTATTGTAGGTAGGCTGCTTCTTTGAAAATTTAATGAAAATAAAAATAATTCTACAAAGAATTAAATATTAAAACAAATTTATTATGTTTTGATTATTTTAAACTAATCTAGATATAAAAATTTCTCATATCAGAATCGGTCACAATTCTATATCTTCTTAGAATTAAATTAAAATCTTTCATTGCAAAAAATTCTGAACTTTATATTTAAAAGAGTAGAACATTATTCTAAATAACAACTTACAACTATTGTTGAAAGGTCAGGTTATCATTGCATTCCTATTTCAAATTATTAATAGTATGAAAAACTAAACCTTTAATAAGAATTACTTGTGATAGACTCAGGAATTATGATATTCTCAACTGTTGAGTCAGTTAAATAAGAAAGAAACAAATTTATCTTTTCTATTATAAATTCGAAATCTCGCTGATGAGATACATAAGAAATTCATCAAATAGATATTTGAGCAATTTTATCTTGATTTTGAGACATGAAGAATGGTAAAATAAGTCAACAGACGAAAGAAAGAAAGTCAGCAAGAAACAATATTTGATCATCAAATAAGAGCTGTGTAAAAATTGTGATGAACATCATTTCTTGAAAGTCTTTCTTAATGATAACTAATTTTTTGATGTTTTTGGTATAAAATAAAGATAAACAGAATGACAAGAATTTTTATTAGGATTTATTTTCTTCCATCTATAATAGAACATAATTTAATTGGATCAAAATTGGGAAAGATTAATCATATCAGAATATTAGTTAATAATTTATTGTTCATTGCTTTAACATAATCAGTAAAGCTTGATGCAAATTATGAATATTATATAATATTTATTCATGAAATACTATATCTAACTCTTGATATCATCATATAATCTCAAAAATAAATTCTCATAATTTAATATTTTGTCTCAAAATTTTAGTTTAATAAACTATGACTATATACATTATATAAAAAGTTAATCTAAATTATCAATAAATTTTATGCTATTTCTCTATATAAAATACATAACTTTTAATAAATTATTTTTTACTATACCATAAGTTAATATAGAGTCATCATTTTCTGAACTTTGATCACTTCAATTTTTACCTTACAAATATAAACTGAGCTTAGAACTAAATAAATATGTATAATATACTAGCGGGATAATAGAAACTGCATATATACATCACATATTTGAATGGCACAAGTTATATGATAAGAATTGAAGTAAATCAGTATTGAATCAGTTTTCATCATACAATACATAATAATATATAAGACGTGAAGTTCTTATATTCTAGTGTGACTCTGAAGATAAAGTCAAATTCAAAAAAATGCGTTATTATTGATTTAATAATTGTACTAACTAAACAATTTCTTGACCTATCTGAATCTCTCGTATTCATTAGGAAAAAGTGAGTATGATGATTTTTCTGTATAATTACAAAGGTTAGGGTTAGTCTATAATTCATATCAAGTGATTTATTAGTAACTGATTTTTTAAAAAATGGAAATAAAAGTGAATTATCATTACAAATTATTTGAAAAAATATATACATACCTCTTATTGCTTCAATTTTAAAATATAATACTAGTTCAAATTTGCTTTTTGAGATATCATTTTGATAGAATATAATATGTTCTAGCTTCTTTTCATATATTTAGTAAAAGGTTTTCAATAGCTCTCTTATCATATATAACAAGTTAGAGATGATTTCTTGTTTATCTGTTTAAATAAAAATAGAAGTGGCATAATGAGATAATTTTGCATCTATTAAAGCATATAGAGTAGCAATAGATGAACAAAACTCATCATCATCAGAAGCATGAGTGATGCTTGCATTCATTATGATAGTCGAGCATTCTGTAATAAACTGTATACAACTTAGTTTAATAAATAGATTCATACTACCAAGTATAATATTCATATATTTAGATTAAACACATTGAGTAGCAACACTAATTACTATATTACTAACACGTTTAATTTTAACATATAATAGTACACTGATATTAGAAAGAATGCATAAAATGAACTGAGATGGTGATCTGGCCATATTACCAGCTTTAACCCAGGCTTACCTTAAGATCTGTTCAATATTACTTTGAGGATTACCTTGAATAATTGGTGAATTCTTATTTGGGATATTCATTCTAGTATTCTGACATGTATTAACCAATTCTCTAATAAAATATTATATAGTATGATTTACATTGTGAAATTTCTAAAAATAACACATGACTATGAACTAAATATGACTCCAGTAATAACTTCTTATCAATAAATTCTATGACTATCCCTTAAAAAAATGCAGCATCACAAAAAAAAGGGCGAAATCGTATTTTTGAAGCAGGTAATATCCTGGCTGGAATTACAATTATTTTCTTAGATACTACCAGATCAAGTTGCTTCATATACTCATTTTTTCAATAATCAAAAATATCAAAACCTTGTTTAAATTATTTGTACAAATATGAGTTGGTTAACAAGAAACTTCATCATATCAACTATTTGCTTTTCATTCAATTTGCGAATAAAATGTTGTTCCTAATAAATAAATTTACTATTAGTAATTATTTTATTTTATTTTATATCTAAGAAGAAAAAAATATTTTTCTTAATTTCTTCTAAAAGTTGCATATTTTGCATATCTCAACAACTTTATATACTTTTATTAAAAATAATATATTTCCTTAGATGACCACGTATAGCAGAAATAGAAATTGTAGAGGTTTGTTATAAGTATTTTGAAAGTATGAAGCAATATCAATCTGTTTATCACTAAAATTAAGTGGAGTATTTGATGTTGAGATATTAGTTAATTTAAGAATCTTATATGAGTATTCAATACCATCATCATGATGAGTAACATGTATTTTTAAATACTTTAAAGCTTTTTAAGTTTTAACTGATCTCTATTATAAATTTCTCTTTTAGAATATCAATATTACGTTCGAGTACCTTTGCAACCATATGTACTAAATCACTACTTTCATAAATAGCAGTAGCGCTTACATTAACATTTATCATTATTCTTCAGGCGTAGGCCTGATGGATTGACAAAATCCTTGCTAAACTTCTAAATCACCAAAATAAGCTTATGAGATTTGGTTTGTATAAAATAATCTACCAACTGCTTTATACGTCATGGATGTTTTTGACGAATTAATACATTAAGGCCATAATTCCTAATTAATGTTAAAGAATGAAATTTTTTGATTAATTATACAAATTTTGTAATTAATAATTATAACAACTAATGATTATAATCAATTGACCTGTTAAAATATTTGCTGATTATCTTCAATTTCCATAAACGAATCTATGAAGGTCATTCATATTAATTACAACGACCTTTCTAATTATAACTTTAAAAAGATGCAGAGGTCACAGAGGAGATGAAAAACTGGTATCTTCCGAAAGATATATATTGTAAGTGGTCGTATCACTAAAAAGTAATTGTCTAGTGGCAAAAATATTTTATCAACCATTGAAAACAGGTTTTACATAACCACTATGTAGGGCCATAAACTGGGAAAAAACTCTCCTGTTTAGAGTCAGAAGAACTTGTAGTTTAATTATAATATAATAATGGTAGATATTCAAGTCAGTTAGAGAGGTTATTTTGAAAAAGCTTGCTCTAATACTTATAGATTGACTAATATAACCTAAGTCGGGTCATTTAACAAATTCTGTTACTTTAACATTGTCAAAATAATTATTTGTATAAAAACAAAGATGATGTAAAAAAAATATTTTTTGCTTCAAAAAAAATTTGGATTGTTTTTGGTATGCCTAAAAAGTTTAAAAACAAGAATCAGGATCTACAAAGATTTTTCATGTGCATGTGCATAATCAATGATATCTCAGCCTTCCTAAAATTATATCTTGTTTGCTTTAAATGCTTGTCTACTTTTAGCTGCTGCGTCTTTTAAATACTATTTAAAAAAAGGAGATTAAAATAAAAATACATTTTTTAATTGTGCCCAAATTTGTTTGGTTAATGCAAAAAATACCTATTATTTAATATTTCGCCTATGATATATTTCACATTCAGTATCATTTGAATTGGAAATTATTTTCAATGAATTTATTTAAAATTGCTAGGAAAAAGAAACCATTGTACTGTACTCTAAGTAAAATAAAATATACATATCAAATGTTCTGATATCTGATATTTTACTTAAAGAATGCATTAATAAAATTCTGACTAAGGACTCATTAATTTATTGCAGATGATGTTTTTGAAAAATTTGTTAAAAGTTAGTAGCATGTGATATATTTAAAAAGTCATTTTTTATCATGAGCGTTAGTAACTATGATATCATCAGAATCATTAATTTGATTATGCTAATTTTTTTCACGTTATGGATAAATAAATGCAATAGAAACTGCTGGGAAAAATCAAATTTTACTTCATATGTCAAATTTTGATTTCAGACTGAGATGTATTTTTATTTAGCATTATCAACTCATTTTTTTATTTTTCCTTATCGCATAGTCTTAAATATATAATGGTGACTAAGTTGAAATGATGAATGAAATCTAAAACATACGATTTCATATCTTGTGAAAAAGCTTTGATCTGCAACATGATATTTAACTATTGGTATTGATGGTGATAATACTCAGATCACATTATGAATGTGTCTTCTATTAATAAATGAAGTATACATTATATTTCAGTATATATTAAAAATCTATAAATGCGATAAAATTAATATGATTGATTAAAAATCTGATTTTGTAACTAAATATACCCAATCTTTTAAAATATAATTTGATCATTAATCTTGTATTTATTTAGAAGTTTTAACACATGACGAATCACATTTGTATTATTAATATTTGAAATTTTGATTTTAATAAAAATATGTAATAGGGGCCTAGAATGAAATAATTGAAGGCATAGATCCTGGTAACATAAATCAAATGTCATAATCACTGAAAAGATCAATGTAGAAAAAATTAATAGAAATGAAATTATAATTGGCTAAGAATGGGTGGGATGATGACAAAACAAAAACTAAAAATTTTTATTTATTTTAATTAATTCAAAAACTAAAAAAAATTTTTAAATATCCATTGAATCTACAATGATTAAGAAGTTTGTTGGTGAAACTATCTTTTTTAATTGAGCTTGACATCTATGAATGATCACCATTAAACTTTATTACAAAAATCATGTGTGACTCAAGTTCTGTCGCCAAGGGGTATTTTATTTTATTTATTTCCTTTAAGAAATAAAAAATTTTTGTAATTATTAGTAATATGTTGCACAAATTTATTAAAGATGTCATCAATAAATCATGAGATATAGTAAATAATATGATCCGAATTGTGATCATAAAAATAAATTTTTAAAGGAAAATGACACAAGCACAAATAATAAAATTTTATACTATCTATCAGGGTTGCAAATTTTAGACCTGCGCAGATTAGTTGAACAATTACCTATTTCTTTGAAAATAATTAACAATTTGATTTCTTTTATGTTGTCTCTAACTTTTAAATTCTATCGAATAATTGATTTGTAATTTGAAAGTCTTTAAAAAAATTTTTAATATATTTTGTATGAAAATGCAGATTATATGATAGATTGTAAATCAAGTTGGATGTTGTGAAGAGTGTTACATATCTGCTACCTGCAAATTTAGTTTAGTCATGTTGATGTAAGATTAGACTTCAAAATTGCATTTCTTTACGTATAGCTGCAAGTTCGATATGGATGATATCTTATATGAATAGTAATTACCGTATATTCCCGAAAATAAACACCCCGTGACACGCTCCTTTTATAGTAATTTATTTATTTGTAACATGGAATTTATTATATTATTTGTCACGTATATACTAATAAATTCATATATATCACGCGGTGCTTATTTTCGGAGGAATACGTATGTTTTATGAAATTTTAGCAGAATATATTTTTCAACCTGATGAACAAGTTTTACAAAACGCAGATCGAAAACTTTAACTTTTTCACAAAATCTCGTCCAATGATATAAAAAATCCTTGATACCGATACATAAATTCAAGTTATGTAAGAAAGAGCTCACGATTCAGCTTACTTTGAGCACAAAAAAAGATTTAATTAATAGGAAAGTATCAACTATCTTGAGTGATTAAAAATGCCCTTCATACGACGAAAACCGGCAATAGCTCAGTTGGTAGAGCGGGAGACTGTAGTGAGAAGATATCTCAACCTGTCATCTCTAGGTCGCTAGTTCAAATCTGGCTTGCCGGAAAATTTTTTTTTTCGCAGCGAATTCGTTTTGTTTTTTTTTGTTTTTTATTTGTGACGCAGACAAATCCTGTAATTGTTATTATTTAAAGGAAAGACGCATCATCTTAGAATTGGATGTATCATTCTAACTCGTTTTTTGGTTAATCTTGTCCACATCCGTAAAGTGATATCACATTTTATATGAATACTTTTGATTCATTCTTGTGTTCCAATAGCCGGATCTAGGCTTCCTTTAAAAATATTTAATTATCATCACTTGAAAAAAAAAAAAAATTGCACTTGAAATCAAATGCATAAATTGTAACATTATTTCATAGTTCTGGGACATGAGCTCCAATTTTTTTATTTTTTAGTTTGTATTTATTTTTTTTTTATTGTTTGATCTTTTGTATTCCATTTGAAGGTAACTGGAATTATGCAAGATTACGTGAGACGGCGGCGGCGTACGGCTTAGCAAAATTTGCATTTTTCGGAGCCAATCAATATCTAAAAAAGGTAATGAATCTCCGAACGTGCAATCTAAAAGAAGAACGATTTACATAAACAAACATTATAACTTGTCTTGTTTGGGGTCCCTGGTTAACAATTCGATTGTTTGTTTATTGTAAATCTTATTATTTATTAAATTATGCACTACATAGTACGATACTTCTATCAATGAAATTCTACATTCCAATGGGACATAAAGAATAATAAGAAATAATAATAATTAATTATGAAATGAAATAAAAATAAAAGAATAAAATATTTCATCTATCGATATTTCTTTTGACACGAAATCCTGTGTAATAGAGTGACCGATCTAGATTCTTTTGCTTCTTGTTCAACTTTACTCCACAGTTCAAAATATTCCTCTTTAGTAATATTCATAAACGCAGATAATCCTTCGGCAATCTCATCTTTAGTAAAAACCATATGATTTATATCGTACCATACATTACCCACCTTACCACCAAACGCGTCACACATGATCGCATCTCTTGTATCTTTACATACGTTTGTTATTTCATCATAATTTTCTAATACCTTATCCAACGTTTTTATGTAATGTCCGTCAACGTTTCTTAGCTTACACACATCTCTCACTAAATAGAATTCGTTTGTTTTTTTTTATACTTTTGAAAATGTAAAGAAGTTAAAAAAAAAAAAAGAGAAAGTTATAATACATACTTGATTCAAAGAATTTACCTAGTATAGGACCGTAAGTAACTACATCAGGATCACTAAATTGTATATAACCACCTGGTTTCGTTACCCTTATATATTCAGATATAACAAATGGCCAATTGTCTTTTGTCCACGACAATCCCATTGTTTCTTGATGAACGAAGTCAAATGTATTGTCATCAAAAGGCAAACCGTTTAACACGTCTCCTTCGATAAATTCAAGATTCTCTGGTTTTATCTTTAGGAAATAAAAAGATTTCGATAAAAATTTGTCGTATACGATAGCTTTAATTTATTTGATTTTTTAAAATAAAAAAAAATTTTACCTCAACTGGAAATATTGGCATTATATCAATACCAACGAATTTACTATTCATGTATTGAGTTGACAAATCCAACAGCCACGTTCCCGCACCGCAGCTGAAAAATTTAAATTTTGTTAAAAAAAAAAAAAGTAGAGAGAAAACCTTTCACTTGCGATGATAAACTTAACTTACCCAACATCTAATACTTTGACATCTCCTTCTATTAATTTTGCTTCTAATGGAACAGAAAAACAACCCTGCCATATATATTTATAATAAAAATGAACTAAATGCATTATATCAACATCGCCTGTATTTAATGCCATATAGTATATTGCAAATGGGTTTTCATCTTTAACATCCGGCTTGTAACTTAATAACTCGTTTGCTTTGTTCTTTCGAGATTTTGATGACGTGCCTCCCATTTTTAATAACTTCACAACAACAACAACAGTGAAGTGAATAATGGATAAGAAGTTTTAAAGAAAGTAAAAAGAAGTGAAGAAGAACAAAATTTGGAGAATTAGGGGAAAAAAAAAGACAGGGATCATATTGTTTTTCAAGTCCACGTCAAATCATTTTTAAAAGAAAATTTGTGTAATGTGATTATTTGACAGTTTGGCCATGGAAAATCCGGAGATAATCAAGCACAAAGGTGTAATCGATTCAATCGATATTTAGATCTTTTGTTCCGAAATGTATATATTTAATTAAAATAAAGAAATCACAAAAGACGTCCGGGTACAGTAAAAAAAAGTTATTTTTTTTATTGGCCAAATTGGGCAACTGTTTTCAAAAAAATTTCTTAATTCATTGTAAATATATATCCGTCGTTAAGTCACATGCTGAATCTTATTGGCCAATTTTTTTTTAAAAAAAAGAACCCGTACCTTTTTAAAATTGTTGTTATTTTTCTTGCGTTAACTTCGTTAGCGGGAGACGCAAATAAAGTAACAGTCCTCCATAAAAGGATTAAATATATCGCTGTAGTCAATATTAGTAGATGTAAAAAAAATAATGAATGCAAGTCACATAATGCAATGAAGAGAATTTGTCTTAAATATTGGATTGTTTATCAGTAAACATTGTACCTTTTCATTATTTAAGGAAAGTCAGGTACAAACAAATAAAACAAATAAAATGCGATATAGAGATATAATGACCTCGATTTAGGTAACAGGCCTCCCTTCGAACGAAAGCTATGCAAAACGCAAACTAATCAAAATAATATTAATTGATTCTAGAAGTAAGTTAAAACTTCCAGTTAATGACGCCACCACGCATAAGGTGATTAATAAAAATAATCACCTACCCTACATGCGATCGATTTTCAAGTTTGTATTCACAAACTAAATTCATTGGTGTTCACTTATACGACGAGACACCGTGAAAATTTCAAATAATGAAATCATTCGATTTTAACCAAATTTATGTGCATTTATGCAGGAACGCAGATCTCTAATATTATGCATCAAATCGAAACCTCAAATTAAACCGATTAAAAAAAATACATGAACCTTAATGAATTATTTTACAGGTTATTTGCAGAATAAAGATGCTATAATTAAACTATTTCTATTGTAGATTTATTACAATTTTTTTTTTGTATAGATTTTGAATCATCCATTAAAGTACTATAAAATTTTATAAATTTTTGTCAATTTTTTTTTTTTTTTTTTGTAAATGAATTTCCAAAAAAATTTCCTTTTTTGCACAAGACACAAACTGTCCAGTACTTGTATTCATTACTTTCGTTTATGTATTTATAAACAATTTTTAATGTAAGCAGAAGGTTTTTATTAAGTAAAAATGAAGTAATTTTGATGATAATTTATTTAATAATATCAAATTAATCAGCGCTGCCTCAACGTCGGCGCTCTACACTTTCGCAATGTCAATATATTAACTAAGTAAATGCCAATCACTAAAGCTGTAAAGATAAATAATAATTATTGGGAGCCTGTCTTCCTACTATCCTGTCATCTGCCAACCTGGCATCTTAACAACCTTGCATCGTGACAACCCGGCACCGTGATAATCTGTCAAAATGACGGAATTAATTTAATGTAATAGTACTGACATGATTATGACATTCTAAAGCAAGCAACCACAGTAGCCAAAACTAGAGGTATTTAAGTTATTGAAAAGAATGTTGAAAATTTCTTTAACGTCGAAGAAACTATAAAAAATTTAACACCTTGAAAGATAATTTAGGTCCAGGTTAATTAAACTGAAATCTTATCACATCTACAGACATTGTAGATCTTTGTTTTAAATTTTATCTTGATTTGGAAGCGCCAAAAATGGAAAAATTTTTTTCCTACTTCAAATCCATCCCTTTTGCTTTTATAAAAGTAATTATGTCTAGTAACATAACAGACCTTGTTAAATATCCTGGCTTAGGTCGTATTGGTCATCCTATAAGAATTAAAGCAAACTTTTTCAAAATAACCTTTCTAACCAACACGAATATCCATCATTATGACCTTATGATTACCCCACAAGTTTCTCTGACTCTAAACAGGAGAGTTTTTCCCAATTTGAAGCCCTATATGCTGGTGATGTAAAACTTGTTTTCGATGGCCATAAGAATATTTTTACCTCTAGACCGTTAACTTTTGGCGATAATTCCACTTTCAATATAAGTCTTCAAAACAATAGTCGACAATATACTTTTGAGCTCATCATTAAGAAGGTCGCTGTAATTAATATGAATGACCTTCATAGATTCATTTATGGAAATTGAAGATCATCAGCGAATATTTTAACAGGTCAATTGATTATAATTGTTAGTTGTTATAATTATTAATTACAAAATTTGTATAATTAATCAAAATTTTTTATTCTTCAACATTAATCAGAAATTATGGTCCTTAATGTATTAATTCGTCAAAAACCATCCTTGACGTGTAAAGCAGTTGGTAGATCATTTTATACAAACCAAATCTCACAAGCTTAGTTTAATGATTTAGAAGTTTGACAAGGATTTCATTAATCCATCAAGCCTACACCTGGAAGAATAATGATAAATGTTGATATAAGCGCTACTGCTTTTTATGAAAGTTGCAATTTAGTACATATAGTTGTAAAGATACTTGGACTACGTAATATTGATGATTTAAGAAGAAGAATTAATTATTTTTTCTTTATAACTTTCCATTCAATTAATTAATTCTTAATCTCTTATTATAGTAATTTTTATTAAAAAGGATCATATAATATATTATTTTGAAATTTCTTAACTCTATAATACATATTATAAATCAATATATAAATATAAAATAAGGCATTACTTCATTAATATTTATTCATTTAAGATAAAATAACTATTATTTGATTTGTTATATTAAGATAAATTTAATAAGAATATATTATTTATTAATTACTAAATATCAAGATTTCTCAAAAAACTAATTTTTCAATTTTTTCAATATGACTTGTGACTTGATCTATAACCTAATCTAATCTAATACTTTAATTAAATTAAATTAATTACTTAATCTAATCTAACTTATTCAGAGCTTTATTAATATATTATCATTATTAATATAATTAATATCATATACTTAAATTATTTTACAAGCACAAGTTTTGAAATGTTATTTACGTAGAGATTTTGCAAAAAGATTAGATATTGATTCATCAGGTTATGCCAAATATAATGCATATATTAGTCATTGCCTACCTTATGCATTTGGTGAATGTCAATTGAATCATCTAGATACTTGTGAAAATTGTGAATCTCTTTTTTTTATTCTTTGATACTTTACAAAATAATCTTGAAAATGAAGAACAAAAGAAATTACTAAATTATCAAAATCGATTAATTATTTTTATGATATATAATACTCATAAATCTTATCTTAACTCATAATTTAATGCTCAATACTTTCAACTTGATTCAGATGAAGCTTTAATAATTGTAGATTATAAGATGAAAATCTTATCCAAAAAAGCTCATGAGATAAAAAATGAATGGTTTGAAAAGAGAGGATATATGCTTTATTCTATTCTTGTTTATACAAAAAATGCTGATAATAGCCTAAATTTAAAAGCATTTGATCATTAGTCAAGTGATACTTGTTAAGATACATAGTTCACTGCATCATTATTACATACTGTAATCAAAATTTTAGAACTAAACCAAAATGGATTACTATCATTTCAGATAATAGAGGGTATTACCATAATATAAAATTAATGATTATTATAGATCACTGAAGAGAATGGTATAATATTAGTTCTCATAGATAGTTGCTTTTAGAAGCAGGTGAAGCAAAGACTGCAATAAACTCCCATTATGCTCAAGTATGATTTAATCAGTATTGTTAATATTTTAAAAACTATCATAGTATTATTTATTTGTTATATTACTACATTTAGATTTCACATGTAATAAAGAAATAGGTAAAAATAGAATATGAAATAAAAGAAGAAAAAGATATTGAAAATGCTATCCAAGATCTTTCAGGCATTCATATATCTCACCTTGAACCAGATTGTGATAAAGGTAATAAAATATATTTTAGTTTTATCTATTTTTTTTTTTTTTTTTTTGAAAAAAATAAATAATAATTTTTATATAGAAAAAGGAAAGCTAGAAATAATCAATGGGATATCAAATTGATATGAGTTCACTTAGCCTGAAACAGGAGAGGATAGTAGATATATATGTATTCATATATTATCAAAGTTTGGTAAATAGAACAAAATTGCTTCTGGTCAAATTGACAAAATTATAAAGACACGTATCTTTGAAAAACTAATTCCAAGTTATACAATATATACACAACCTTCAAAGTTATGGACTGTATTATTGATATCAAGAAAAGGTTATTTTTCAAAATCATGAAACTGTATAACAAAAATTGTGGCTGTTTGTAATCATTTGTATTGACTAATATTGCACATTCTCAAATAATAATGGGAATTCTCAAGTAGAGAGGGAGATTTCTGAGGTAAATATAATGAAAATATTTATGTTTTTATTTTATTAGGATTTTTAGTAAAAAAAGTTAGAATACAGGTTGAAGAAATAGATATTGACCCAATATTAAAAAGGTAAATTTAACTATACCTTAGCATTGAATTTGAAGTAAATTCATATTTTTTTTATTACTCTTTAGTGTCATTATATTTGTTAATGGATGGACTTTATCAGAAAATTTGAAAGTGAATTAAAGATAACAAATCAAACGAATTTTAGAGAATATTAAGGAATTACTTACTGTAATGTTTCATACTGATGTAGCTAATCTTAGACTGAAAATGAATGCTAATGAAATGTATAAGAAACTTTTGAAAAGGGTGGCTGATGGAGAAATTTCTAAAGATGACGTATTAAGAATATCTACAATTTTGAATTAGATAACAAATACTTTATAATCATTCAAGAAATTTATGTTATTACGACTTCTTGATAAAGCAGGATCATCTGAAAATTAATAGTTTGTATTATGCAATACAATAAATAATATCATCTCAAAAACTAATATTATTGATATTTCTATAATTTATTGTATTGGATTTTTCAATTACATTTTTTTAATAAAAAAGTAAAACTACGTTCGTTCAATTGAATTGTATTCTAATTATATTATTATAGTAAGAAAATAACAATAAATGAAGAATAAAATTGAACCTAAAATAAAAAATAAAATAGAAAAACTAAATCTAAAGTTAAAAAAAAAATAGTAAAAAGTTTCCACCTGAATCCTATCACTAATTGTAAGAAAAGACCAAAAAGTAAAAAAGAAATCAATAAAGATTCCCTTTAAGATCAATAAAAAAAGAATAAAAAATCAATAAATAAAAAGAATAAAAAATTTCATTTCTACTTACAAAGCAATAAAATTCAGAACGAAGAAAAATAAAAAATGCCATGATTCAGCAAAAGAGACAGACACTTTTAAAGATAAATAAAAATCATAAAATCAATAAAAAAAAAACAAAAAAATGTGTTCATGATTTTCTGAAATTTACTACGACTTTACAAGAATAAAGAGAAGGTAAAATTGCATAAAATTTATAGTGCTGCAACTTCTTGAGAAAGAAGAGTCGTCTAAAACTTCAAAATAAATAAATAAATAAAATAAATATTACTTTTATTATGTAAAATGATATTTGTAAATTTTATAATTTTATCTATTTCACTTTGGAATTTAGCATTCGTATATAGTAAAGTTATTAAAATACAATAAATGTCTATCAAAAATGATGTATTCATATTCTCTGACTTTTTTGTATTAGATCTTATGATTTTTATATGTATAATAATAATTTGTATTATTTTATTATTTGAGCGTTTTGTATCAATTTTAAGTGTTCACTAATTAATTAGTAAAATTTTATCCCAAATTTTAATATTAAATTTTTGTTGATCATATCTGAATTAGCAATTAAATATAATTATTATTTTAAATTATTTATATTTTATATACTTAAATTTATTAAATTAATTAGTTTATAATATAACAAATAGTTAATTATAATAAAAACATTTTGTATAAATAGAAAAACTTTTTGCTTTTATTATAAATTAATTCAAATATGAATTTTAGAATTATAATAAAAAAATCAATTAAAACTTATAACTTTTTATTTTTTATATCTTTATATAATTTAATATAATATTTATATAAAAATCTGTATTAAGTTTACATTTAACTCTCTAATTAAATTTTATAATTTTATTTTTAAAATTTTTATATTTAACAAATTTGTTGAATTTAAAATATAAATTTTATAATTCAGATTTTAATGTCTTAATTACAATAATCTTAAATTTTTTTGAATTATTATCAATATAATATAATATTATAATTTAATATAATTATATATTTTATTAATAATAATTATATCTGATATACTGTAATTATTTTTAGTTATAATATAATATTTAATATTAATTTTTAACTTTACAGAAAAGTATATTTAATTATTTATAATTTTATGTAAAATTTAAAATTATTATTATCATTATATTAAGTATAAGAATTTATTAATATTATATTCTATTTTAAAAGAATTAAATTAGGCTAAATAATTAATTTAACCTAATCTGAAATATAAGGTTAGGTCAAATCATAAGTCAGATTATATATTATATTAAAAAAAATTGAAAAAAAGTTTTTTTAAGATATCTTATTAACTAATAATCAATAAATAATATATTATAGCTTATTAAATTTATTTTAATATAATAAATTGAATAATAGCTATTTTATTTTAAATAAATTATTATTAATAATTTTATAAACCAATTGTATTTATATTAATCTATAATACATGTTTTAAAAATTTTTATATAGTAAAACTAAATGAACTATATCTTAACAACTAGTAATCAAAAATTAATAATGTATAGCTTATTTAATTTATTTCTATAAGATAAATCAAATAGTACTTATTTTATCTTAAACAAATATTAACAGAATTATTAATTTTTAAATTTTAGGTTAACTTATTAGATCATCTAATCTGTTAAATTAGATTCAAAATTCTAATTCTATTTAATTAAATAATAAAAATTATATAATCTTAAATAAAATCTATAATTATATTTAATAAATATTTTTAAAATTTAAAATATTTATGCTATTCATATTAAATTTAAATAAACTTTTTTATATAAAAAATATTTATGATATAATTAAGGTTATTAAATAAAACTTAAAAATTATCTAAATATTAAAAGATAAATTTAGTAAAATTATATTAAAAATTGTAAAAACTTGAGAAAAGATAAATTATATCAAATTTATAAAAATAATAAAATTATATTAAAATTTTAGTAAAAATTAATGAAATTTAAAATTTAGATATTTTATTAAATTCAAAATAAATTTAAACAAATAATTTTAAATGTAATAAAATTATTATAGATGAAATATTACATTTAAGATTACTAGATAAAACTTAGAGATTTTGTAAATCATCTAAATGGTAAAAGATAAATTTAATAAAATTATATTAAAAAATTTGTAAAAATTAGAAAAAAGTAAAATTATATCAAAGCTTATAAAGATATGAAATTATATTAAAATTTTAATAAAAAACTAGTAAATACCTATTATTTACATCAACAGTTGATTACACTTTAGATATCAATGTTGCATATTAATAATCAATGATTTAAACACAATTGACTTACTTATGAAAATATAATTTCTTATAGATCACGTAAAATTACATAAATATCTGTAAAGAGATACTTATATAATTGATTTTAAGACTTGAACTCAAATTTTACTGAGAGATAAATTGCTTTTTTGGGATGTATGTAATATTTCACAACTATATGATTAATTTATATAGGGTAATCTAAACAAAATACTATGTGACCATCAATATTTTTAAATATATTAATTAGTAAAACTAAAGTTTAGATATTTTGCTAAATCAAAATGAGTTTAAATAAATAATTTTATTTATGTCTAATATTTCAGTTTACTTTTCTAATTGATATATTATTTTAATAAAATTCTTATTCAAAAAATAATTATAAATCTGAGTAATCTGATTACTTAATAATTAAATATGTTTTTTAAAATAAATTTAAATACTATTTCTAAATATTACAGATTTTTTAATTAAATTTTAATATAATTTTATTAAATTTATTTTTATTATTTAAATTATCTATTAAACTTCTAAATTTTATTAGAATTTTTATCAACTAAAATAATTATTCAATTTATTTATTTTTTTATATTTTTTATTATTAAATTAATTAAATAAAATAAAATATTTTAATATATTAGCTATTTATTTAAATTTAATTTAATTAGCTAATTTAAATTTTATTAATTAAATCATAAGTCTGATTTAATTTTACAATAATTTAAAAAACTAATTTTATCTAATCTAAATTTTTTTAAATTAAATTAAATCAGATAATAGATTAACTTAAACAGTTATTTTTTTTAAAAAAAATATATCTAAATCTATTTTTCTTAAGAAAATAATACTAAATATATTTCTTTAAATAAAATACTACTAAAATTATTTATTTTAATAAAATATTTTAAGCTATTTTTTTTAAAAAAATAATATTATTAAACACTTTTTTTTAAGAAAATATTTTTAAAGATAGTTTAATAAATTTAAATTATTATGTTACAATTTAATTATAATATAAGTTAATTTATTTAACTTATGAGTTAATTTATAAATAATTTGAAATAGGGAGATTAGTATTTCTAATGTTTACTATAAGGTAAAAGTTCCTATCAATAGGTAATACTGCGATAGATCCTAGTTTAATATTAGTCAAATGCAAATTATAGTATTAAATTACTGCAAATTCTATCAGTTCAATTCTGAGAATAAATTTTATAGAATGCATACAAACTATATGCATCAAAGATCACAAATTTGTAGAATATGATGAATTTATATGGCTATGCAAATGGTCACGTACACATAGAACTGATTGAGTTTAGAACTTGTATTAGAAGACTGACCTGTTATAGTCAAGTGTTACATCTTCTGTAAAAGGATCATTCCTGATGAGTCAATAGTAGTTGTTGTATAATTTGGATTAAATAAGAGTTATGGATTATAGGTAATTTCTAGTTAAAACATTATGACATCTATTAGTTAATTAGAATTTGAGAGGTCTGAGTTCAATTCTCAGAGTGATTTTGATAGTTAAGTATATCAACTGTATCAGATAGCTATTTTGAATTAGGTTGGTAAAGACTTTTCTTTCTAGTAATTAGCCAGAAACCTTCATATTAATAGCATTAGGGGAAAGCTATGCGACATTCAGAATGTATAGCTAATTAGGATAATCTAAGTAATAAACACTAAAACTTAAAAAAAAAAAAATAATTTTAAATAATTTTAAATAAGCCTATTTATTTAGCTTTCAAATATCTTAACTTATATAAAATTTTAATATTTATACTAAGTATTTTATTATTCATTATTTTATTATGAATATTAAATACAAATATTTTAATATAAATTAGTTATTTATATTTTAATTTATATAATTTAAATATTTATTTTTTATTTTATTCAAAAAATTACAAATTATTATTATAAATTGATATTTTATTATAATAATATTTTATTATTAATTTATAAATAATCTAATTTTTAATTTATAATAATAATTAGAAATGCTATTAAAATAATACTATTATTTAAAATAATTATTTACAATAATATTATATTTATATATCAATAACAGATTTTTATTAGATATTATTAAAAATTTTAATTAATATAATAGATTCTTATAATATTACTATTGATATAATAAAAGTATTATTTTATTTTTATTATCTGAAATTTTACTTTTTTTAATTAAAATCTTTATATCTTTTTATTATTTTATGATTAATTTTATTAAAAAAAAAAACTAATAATATTTCTTAATATTTAAAAATATATTTAGATAATTTTCTTTGTTAAAAGTATATTATTTTATTAAAAAAATTTAGTTAACAATAAAATAAAAAATTAATTTTGTTATTAAATTATAATTTAATATTTTAGTTAATAATCCTTTATTTTTTAATATATATTATAGCATATTTTTTAATTAGATTATCATATTCAAAAATAAGCATCCTATAAAATAATATATATTAATTTTATATTATTTATTATATTACTTAATTTTTATTTTAAAGAAATGTTATATTATAAATTTAGTAAAATAGCTTTTATTTTTATAATATTTCTTTAAATTCATATAAATTCTTTAAATCTTTTTCAATAAAATTAAAGTTTAAATATTAGAATTTAAAGATTAATTTATAATCATTCTCATTTTAAATATGTAAGAATAATATAATAAATAATTAAATGATTAATTATTATTTTTATTTTTATTTTCAATTTAGTATAATTGTTTTAATGCAAAATCAATACAATTAATTATAATAATTAGAGCATTTATTTTTTTATATATTTAATTTTTAGAAATAAAAAAAGTATAACTAGATATTTTTAATTAAATAGTATATAGTTGATTATGATCTTTTTTTTAATTCAATATAATTAGTTATTTTAATGATAAAATAACTAGATAGTTTAGTAAGAGTTAGTTTTAATTAATAAAGAATATTAGATATTAGATTTTATTTTTTCTATTTTTGTATCTTTCTTAAAATTTAATATATTTGTTACTGAATTTAATAAATATTGTATTATCACATTTTTTTAAAAAAAAATGATCTGATTTTAGTTTATTAAAATCATGTATTAAGAAAAATTAAAATCCAATATAGTTTTATAGCAGATATCCTACTTAAATATTCAAAATTTTATTAAATAAGAATTTAAATGAAAAAAGTTGATAATTGCTATTTGTATTAAATATTTGTTTACTATAAGCATTTATAATAGCGAGCGTTAAGGTTTAGTGATAAAGAAAGAGATTAGAGATCAATATTGTTTATTGAACTTGGTTTGAAACTAGTATCCAAGTGTATTTATCAAATCATTTGATTTTTAAAGGTTTTATCGCATCGCACTATACATTTTATTCTTTTGATTACTGTTGTTAAATAAACTCAACGTAAATAAATTAAATCATTTATAGCATGATGAACTTTGGCATTATTGGAGGAGGATTAAATATGAAGTAAAATGCATCGATTTAATCATGAAATCAAAAAAAACGATTTTTTCAGTTAAAATATAATCCTTGGAGAATAAGTATCAAAAAGACAGAACCTACATATTAGTCCAAAAATATTAAGGTGTTGTTGAACTTGCGTTTTTATAGATTTAAGTTTCGACTAATATAATTTCGGCGATACCTGCCCGCAATAATATTTATAAACCGGTCCCTAAACAGACTTACCCAAATTATTAGGTCATTTACTATTCTTTTAAATGACCTTTGGTCATTTGATTTTGAAATTTATAATAAAAATGATGTCATTTGATGCCATTTGAGGTCATTTCAAAGTCATTTGCCAAAATGAGAGAATGTATATCACAAAACGATATTTAACTTGTTAAATGGAAATATTTACCAAATGAATACCGGAATTTTTTTATCACAAAGCCCGTAGATTATATAAAAATAAAAAAATATCTTTTAATCGTTTAAATTGTTCGTGTCATAAATAGATCACGTGATGACAAATATTTAATGTCATTATGTTGCAGTAATACAGTACTTGTAATAATAAATAATGAATACAAGAATATTAAAGTCAGGCAAAGAAAGGTTCCAATACAAACGAAATTAATTTTTACAAGATCTTAAAAACTTGTTTATTGGGGGTATAACGATTTTCTTCGTGGGCTGGTAATGCGGACTCCACTTTTTAGATCAAGTTCCAGCCGATAAAAGAAAACATATAACGTTCCTCTCTTCAAATTATCAAACACAAAATCGAACATGTTCATAGCAACTACAACTGATGCAAAATAGAACCATATTACTTGTCTGCTTTAACTTAATCAGGCTGTCATATAAATATGCTTAAATTACTAATTAAAAAGAAAAACAATATTTCTATCAAGTTCAAATTGTAAATATTTTTAATGTTAGTTGCATTATCATAGAACGATATACCATTCATCGAATCAAAATCCGAGTTACTTGAAAAAAATATATATATATATATATATATCTATTTATTATTATAAAGGCTTAATAACAAGTGTATTAATGAATGGTGTATATGCATCCAAAAATATTTAAAAAAATCTAATCTTTCAATCTACAATTCATAATCAAAGATAGCATCCTTTAAGCTACCACGTATAAATTCTTTAATCACTCCTTCATCTATGTACTTCTTTATAATTTCTGCATATTCTACTTTTTTATACTCGAGATCACATGCATACATTGACAATGCTTTTCGACCTCTCCAATTATCGAAAAAAGTATCTAAAGTTTTTAATGAAAATTTAAACCCAGAATATGGAAAAATTTCCCCAAATCTAATTTCTGTTAAATTATCTGGTGCTGATTGTGTTAATGCCCTTGATAATTTTTCTCCTGATTCAAATTTTTCCTCTTCAACCGATTCGAGTTGTTCGCTCATAACTTCATTTATAACTATCAATAACCCCTTCAACTTTTGACATGCTTTTAGTAAATTTTCAAATTCAACGAAATGAATCGTTGATTTTGAAAATGAGAGTGACAAATATTCGATCAAAGGACAATTTTTATAAATCGTACGGATAAGAATAAGAGAATCTTGAAAAAAGGTATTAGAAAGAACGTCATAGTCATTGACTAAAATTTTCCTGAGGCGCCCTCCGTTGTTTAGAACCACGCGACAGATTGTGCTACATTGAATACAATCTAAGTGAAGGGTTTCAAGCTTTTGATAACATGCTCTTTGCAATTGATATTCAAATTTGTCGTAAGGAAATTTAATCAATAACTTTTTTAAGTTATGAAATCTTGAAAAATTTATCGGTATGATTGTTCCACAATTCTCATAATCTTGAAAGTTCGTCACCAAAATATTTAGGGTATTTGCCTTTTTCTCTAATGTTTTAAAAATTTCTTCATATACTTCCTTCTTGAATATAATTTTATTAATTTTATTAAGATCCCTTAAATCATCATTCCATTCAAAATGCTTTAAATTCTTCTGTATCTCTAGCAACTTGACAATTCCATCATTGGTTTTTTGATCTTTATTGAAAATGATGAGCCTTTGTATTGATTGACAGACACTTGCCAATCCATAAAAGTACGTTGGATTAATGGACATATCACATGTGATTTCACAAAGTGAACCAAGGCATATCTTCGCTTCTGCAAAATAAAATATTTGGTGTCTAAGTGATCTCATATCCAAATACTTTAATCCCGGACATTTTCTCATAAAGTTGTTGTAAATTTCTTGTTGTAAATGAAATCGTTTATAAGTTGAGGAAGAACAAATAGAAATGATTTTGTTTATGACTTTTACATTAATACTCTTGCAGAAGTATAGATAATCAAACAAAAGTGACTTGTGTGAAATTGGAGGTAAATAGATTCCCATACTGGTTAAAAATAACTTGATATCATTGGATAAAGTGAAGGTAATAACGTAATATAAAGAACTTTTGATTTTATCATTTATTTTCTTTTTAAAACGCCAGGGATTTCTCCATAAAATTGGAACCATGGTTTCACACCAAAGTCGATTAACGAATAGACATGAAAAGAGGGACTTTGTGTCATCTTGTAATTCCTCAAATAACAAGAAAAGTATGTCCTTGTTAAGTTTGGACATGTTAAAAAGGTTTATAAAAAAAAAAAAGAGAAGAAATCGCGATCTATTTTTTCCGCAGCAATTTTTAAAAAAAGGGGAAAAAAACAAAACAAGGAAACATCCCGTTATATATATATTTTAAAATTATTTTGTGCGACTATTTATTTGTTTTTGTGTTTAGTTAAAAAAAATTTAGGTTTACGAAATGTGAGGTGCCGTTGCCTTTTTTGTAAATACAATTTTCTAATCATAAAATTGATTAGACCAAATTTTTTTCGTAGCATTAAAATTCAAGTAACTGGAAAAGGATCTTTGCTCGTAATTTCCCTTTGGGCATGATTCATACCATACAAATATAAAGATATTATCGCGAGAATAATACAAGGTAACGAAAAAATATGCGGATGTAGGATAAAGTCAATGAATAGAACCTTGAATACGAAATATAATGTTGTTTATTTATTTGTATTATTTATTTACATAAAAAAAACATTTCTTGAGGTGATTACGCAAAGGTTAGATATTACCCTAGCCTCGTTGTGTAAAGTAACTTCCCAAACCGAATGACATGGGCTAACGCGTTTTTAACTTTTCAATTTCAGTCATGTTCATATCTGTGTAACTATTTTAATTTCTAATTTCAGACATGAGATCATTTGAAATTGGTATATCTGAAATTGAATTTCAGAAAGAATTCAGATACAAAGTTGTTTGAAATAAAATATATCTGAAATTGAATTAGATAAAATCTGAATTTGCTATTTTTTCAGTTAAAAATATATATATATATATATATAATTAAAATAAATTGCTTATATATATGTAGATAATAGATTCTTAAATTAAATAAAAATGTATTCTTTTCTTTATTTTTCTTAGCTATTTTAAATGAAATTATTATAATAAAATTTTAAAAATACTGTCTATTATCTGTAAAATATATAAAATATTAAGTAATTATACTTTTGTAAAAATTAATGAATTGATCAATTATATTTAAAGAATCTGATTTATTATTTACAAAAAAAAGTTAATGATTATTATAATTTTATAAAAAAAAATTTAACATTTTTTTTCTTTATTAAATTATCTTTAATCAAATTAAGAAATAAAATAATAAGAATAATTAATTATAAATAAATAAAAACTAATTAGTTAACTAAATAAATTTAAATATTTTTATAAGTAAGACTATAAAAACTTGATTTTATGCATAAAATTTTTAAGATTGATAGCAACCTGGCTTTTAATTTTTTTCAAAAAATTTTATTTATAAAATTCATATGAAATTTTTTTAATTTTTAAAAAATCTTACCCAATATATTAATATATAAAATATATTTTTTTAAATTTAACAAAAACTGATTTAACTAGATTATATAGATATAATTATCAGATTACATCACTAATTATTAATTTTATTTATTATTTTTAGTTTTAAAATAAAATAAATACAAAAGTAATTCATAAAATAAGTCTTTTTTTTTATTTACAAATTGTTATTATAAAAGAATAAAAAAAATATATATATATATATTAAATATGATTTTTTAATTAAATAATTATTTTTTACTTTTTAAGTTAGATAACTTCAGTCTACCTTTTAAAAAAACCTGAAAAATAAAAAATAAAAAATAAAAATAAAAATAAAAAAATAAAAAAAATGAAAAAAAATATATTTATTAATTAATATAATATTCATATAATAAAAAAACTTAAATTAAAAAAAATGGAAAAAAAAAAACTTATTTATTTTAACTATGACCTTAAAGTATTTATGATTGATGTTAATTGTGATTAAAGATAGCATTACAACTAGTTGCAACTATGTGATGCTTATTTGTCACCAGTTGCAACTAGTTGCAATTCAATTTTTATTAATATTGCAACTAGTTGCAACCCTGTGATGCTTATTTGTCACTGGTTGCAACTAGTTGCAGTGCTATCTTTAATTATGATATATATAATCTAATAGTAAATTTCTGATATCTAGATATTACAACTTAAAAATTATGTAAATTAATTTCTTTTTCAAATTACTCATATTTTCAATTTTTATTAGTTTAAACATTCTTCTTTTTTAATGATAATATTATATCTGTTTATACATTATATATTGCATTACAATAAATTATTGGATTTTATAAATTTTACTTAGTAATATATAATAAATTGAAGATTTTCAGATTGCATAAAAGTTTATAAATTTTTAATCAATTTCACTTTAAATTTTTTAATTTAATAACCAATCAATTATAATTTTAAAAAATTATAATTTAAAAATATTTTATTTATAAAATACTGAAAAAATACTCATTTATAAAGTAATAAACAACATAATTTTATATATAAAATGCAAAAAAACATATAAAAAAATTATTGCTTATACTTTAATATGAGAAAATTTTTTCATGTTTTAAAAAATTTCTTTTTTCATTTTAATATTTAAAAGCTATAATTAATTAGTTATTAAATAAAAAAAAAATCAAATGACTTTTATTGAAATTTGTAAACTTTTATTTAATCTGAAAATCTTCAATTTTACTATATTTACTAAGTAAAATTTATAAAATTTGATAATTTATTATAGGGCAGTGTATATAGCTTTCACATTATAAAAAGCAAAATATTAATAATTTTTAAAAATGTTACTGATATTAGAATCTTAAAGAAAAGATATACTCTTGATTTTATATCTAAAATATAATACAATAGATGAAAACTTCTATTATATCTAAATGTATTTTATAATTAATCATAAAATAACCAAAATTATTTAATAATCAAAAAACTATTTTAATTTATTATTAATATATAAAATGTTAAACTCTTTTTTATATATAATACTTTTCTTTCTTCACACTTATAAAAGGAATTATTTATTTTAATTTTTTGATTTCATTTACAGCAAATTCAATAATATATTCTTGATAAATACTATGTATTTCTTTGCTTACATTCAATTTTGAAAGTATATAAAAAATCTGAAATGATTAGTATGTTATATAATCAACTTTAGAAAAAAACTGTTAATATTATTCTAAAATCAAATTAAGTAAATTTTGTGACTATTGGTTATAATTTTTTTATACATATTTCTCTAATATTAATAGACCAAATCTAATTAATATCTTTGTATAACTATGATCCTATTAATCAAATTTTTAGTATAGTAGTAATTATACTTTTTATTATTATTCATTTTTTAAAAAATAATATTCTTAGCTTAGATTAGATTTAATTTTGAGAAAATATAAAATTCTTCTTTAAAATTAGTCTTAGATTAGTTATAGATAAAATTTTTGTTATTTATTGTAATTTATATTTTGTTTTTATTTTTTATTTTATTATAAATATATAAATAACTTATTTTATCATAATAACAACTTAGCAAAATTACTACATTTTAAAAAATTATATAAATCAGTTAATTATATAATTCTAATTATATAATAATAAAAAGAAATTACAGTGGTGCTCAAAAGTATTGCATCACCTGAATGCAAATTTTAAAATGGCATTTTCTTGTGATTAAAACGGCGCAGTGTCATATAAATTATTTATTAGATTTATTATAACCAAGTCTATTTAATATATGAAAATCAGTTTATAGTAATAAGATAAATTTTAAAAAATATTTATTTTTGAATAATTAGGCAATCCTTTTCTTTTAATCATTTTTTATTAAATTTTTTAAGTATATAAAAAAAATCAAAAATCTAACCAACTTATTAAAAATTTTGGGTAAATAATTATTTACCATTTTGTATAACCACCATTAGCTCTAATTACATCATTTATATGAGTTAGCATAGTATTAACCAACTTTTTACATACATCAGACCTCAACTCAACCCAAATTTTTTGAATTGCATCCCATAACTGATCCTGTGTTCTAACAGGTATTTCAAGCTGCCTCAGATAACGATCCATTTCATTCTAAAGGTGTTCTATGGAATTTAAGTTAGGAGATTATGCTGGCCAATCAAGAACTTTAACCCTATTAACTTCAAACCATTACTTTATAAGATGTGCAGTGTGTTTAGGATCATTATCCTGTTGAAAAATAATATTTTCTTTATTCATTCCATGCCATGCGATGGTTCTCAATAGGTCTTCCTTTAAAATTTGGCAATATAAATCACCATTCATATGTCCATAAATTCAGCATATGTTACCAATCCTATCAAATGTAAAACATTCTCACACTATAATATTACCCCATCCAAATTTGACCATTAGTTTAACATGATGATCACGTAATGGTTCTCCTGATTTTTTCCAACAATACTCTCTATCATCTGATCCATAAATCATAAATTTTGACTCATCTGATCAAACTACTTTACTTCAATCTTCAACTATCCATAATTTGTATTTTTTTGCAAATTTTATCCTTGTAATTCTATATGTTTTTTGAAGATATAGTTTTTTGCACTTAACCCTTACACTCATTCCATTTTTATGTAAGGTTCTCTTTACTATACATTCACTAACTTCAATTTGTTCTTTTATTTTTAATTTTTTTTAATTGCAACAGCATTGCTACATTTACCTATTGTAATTAATCTCAAAACTTTCATTCATATCAACTAGTTAAGAGTCACGAATGCCTAGATTTAGTTTTGTTTTTATTTTTACCAGTTTTATCTTTATGTTGCTTGATTCTTATAACAGTTGATTGAGAAACATTTTTTTTGTCTGTTATATAGTGGAAGGGAAAGTCTTCATCAAATAAGACACAAATCCTAGCTTTTTTTTCAACAGAAAGATAAACCATAGATATTTTATAAAATTATAAAGAGGCAAAAAATGCCATAAGGCATATTTTTTATATATGTCATATAGTTGTTTTGAAGTAAAAAAAAATCGCGTAATAAGTGTTGATATTTATTTCTTAAATCAATCAAAAGAAATGCATCACCACTTTGGCGAAAGATTCATAACAAAAAAAAAAAATATTCTTAAAAAAAAAGATAAAAGAGATTGATAAAGATTAAGGTATGATGAACTCTATATTTAAGTTTTATAACACTGTGCCTTTTAAATTACAAGATATTTTCATTTTAAATTTTGTATTCGGGTGATGCAATACTTTTGATTACCACTGTATATATAAATTTAATATTTAAAAGAAATAATAGATTTGCCTTAATTATTAATATAATTATTAGTTTATAAAATAATAAATCTAAATATTATGAATAAACTTAAATTGATTTATTAATGAAAAATAAATACTAATAATATCATTACTAGTAAATCTTTTTAATATATTAATAGTCAATAAATAAGATAATAAAATTTCTTAATATATTAATATCATTGTTAATTTTATGAAAATCTTCATTTAATAATAAATTAGATAGAAATAATAAAATAAGTAAAAATGTATTTGTAACATCCTTTTTTATTTGTCTTAATAATAAATTATTTTATTTAATATTTTATAAATAAGATTTTTAAATGCAAAATTTAATTTAAAAAACTTTTACTTAATGTATTAAAAATAGTTTCATAGATAAATTTTCAGTTATAAACAGTTTCTTGAAATTTTTTAAAAAAATTTTTATTTTTATTATACAATTTGATCTTTTATTTTGATTTGCTAAATTATTAACATTACATTTGATCTTAAATTTTGATTGGATAAAATTATAAATGTTACAAATAAGACGCATAATATAATGTTATAATTAGATTTATCCATAAAATAAAACTAAGAAATATAAAAATAAATTAAATAAAAATTTAAAAAAAAAAAAGATAATAAATTAAAAATATGAAAAGAAGGAATATTTAAGACTATTATTATAAAATAAGAGAAAATATAAAATAAAAGATAAAGTATTAGTAAACTTTATCTTAAGTTAGACAAATATTTAAGATATCTATCTCTTTGATATATATATTATTATTGTTAAACTTTATAAATTTAATTTATTATTAAAGAAAATAAAAATATTTTGAATCATAAACTTAAAAGAAATAAAAGAATGAAAAATTAAAGAATAATAACAAAATAAATTAAAGGAATATAAGAAAAACAACAAAAGTGTTATAATAAAATTAAATTAAAAAATACAAGTAATCCAAAATTAATAAAATATAGCTCATTTGATTTATCTTTATAAGAAAAATTGAATAGTATTTATTTTATCTTAAATTGATATTAAATTTTTTAATTAAAAAATTTAAGTCAGATTTGGGTTAGGTCAGGTATCTCAACTGATATGACCTGAATTTTTCAGGTTGACCTGTTGGGTACCTGACCTATTGAATCAGATTTGGAGCTCTATGCATTAAATTAATGTCATATTGCATATAGAAAATGTCTTATATGAAATTATTACACAAAGTAATGTAAATCTTAAATAAAATAATTATTATACAAAGCTATATAATAATTATCAAAAATAATAAAATTGAATTTATTTATCAAAATAAAAATAAAAAAATAAATAGTATAATTAATTTTTTCGCTAAAATGTATTCGTCTATTGCTATCATAAAATTCAAATATAGTAATTAGTTTTGTAAAAAATTTTTTATAAAATTTGTTTTATGATATGGTATTTTTCCTTGAGTTAATTAAACTAATATTAAATAATCAGTTATCAGACTAAAACAAAATCTATTACTATTGAAAGTTCTAAGTTTTTAATTAATTTGATAGATTATTAATGATGTTGATTATAAAAATCAGAAGCAACAATTACAAACTTTATAAGAAACTATAATGTATTGTAATAATAGAAATCTTCAAGACATAGATTAGCGCAATATTGCTTTTTTACTTGAAAAGATATGTTTGAATTGTAAATTAGAAAGAATAATGATTAATTATTGTGTAAATATATGTGGCATTTAAACTTTTTAGCTAAAATGACCATGTGATCACTTCCGGTCATGTGCCAACACTAACTGTCCGTCTTAATAAATGGATTTTAAAATCAACAATAATTTTATTATTTCCCTTCCTGCTTTAAAGAAATTTTGCATATTTTTCGTCCCTCAGCTACTTTTACGCCCCCTCTGACGATATGTTGAAAGTATGAATTTATCTATCCATTCATCTCCAATCAAGATTTGACGCCGAGTTATTAGTTTCTGAAACCATCTTCACTATGAGAACAAGAAATTATATCCTTTAAATCCTTTTCAAGTCTTAACCCTAAATTCCTCCCTTTTGAGATTTAATTGATATATATATATAATATTATCACGTTAAGAATGAATGGTAAATTTCATTTGGTTAAGAGAATTAAAATAATATTTCAAAAAAAATATTAGGATATTTGAAATCAGCATTAATAAAAAATCAAACCGAAATTATTAAGCATTCGCACATAAAAATTTTAATGAAATTTCTTTATTATATAGTCGAATCAAATATACAGTAACCAATACGCTCACGCAATAACTTTCCAAAAAACATTCCACCAAACATAGATTTTTACAATTTCTAAGTAACTTCAAATTAGCAAATTCTCACATAATAATCATTATATAACTATTCTAGAGCATTAAGAACTTTAATTAACGGAACCTTGAATTCTTTCGAAATTTCTGGAATTGATTCGATAAGTTTTTTTGCATCATCATCATTATGAAATTCGACGTTACTTTTCCTTTTAAATCTCATTAACAACTCAAATTCTTCAATCGTTATATCATATTTCACTAGAAATTCCCTAAATCTTGGAATTTCACTTGCATAAGCTCGTCCAAAATCTATCTTATTCTTCCTTATCTTATCGTTGAAAGCTAAGTTTACTCTGTTCCAACATTCCTGGGTTAATTCATCTACTATAATATCTATAAAATCAGTTAAACTTAATATATTTAGTGTTTTTTCTGCGATAGTAATCGACGTCTGGATGTGTTCATTTTGTTGTTTCATCATTTCACGTATATGCTTTGAGTTATCTTTGAGTTCGTTTTCAAAGCCTTTAGTCATGTTTTCAAAAATATATTCTTGTTCTTTACACCTATTTTCTAAAGATTTCTTAAGTTTTGAATTATTAGACTTCAATTCTTTTAAAGTGTCATTGATTTTATAGTCGTCATGTTTATTCTTTTAACGTAAGGTAGTTTAATCTTTAACGCCCTCACCTATTAGAAGGACGTTCATATGATTGGTAAATTAAGTTGCACGAATTTTTGTGTCGACGTAATATTATTATATGTCCTAATTTTAATTTATTGATATTATAAATGTGAATTGAAATTTTTTATTGCAAATGGTTATATGGAAAAACGGTGCTGGTATGCTGATACGAATCATTTTGTAAGATCGATCTTGCAGAATCATTTTTCCAATTTAACATATAAAATGTCAATTTTTTGATCCAACGTTATATTTATAATTTAATAAAAGAACTTTTCTTGTAAAAGCTTTTTAATAAGTTGCGTGTATTAATCAGTACGGCACAGAACGAATTGACTGTATTGTCTTATTGGTTATCAGCTACGAGGTTGAATATTTGGACATACTCCAATCAGAGGTAGGGATCGGTCAATGGTCGGTCAAAATCGGTCGGTCAACCAGCATATGACCGCATCCCTAATAAGAAGGCATAAAAAGTAAAATTCGATTTTTTTTCCATATCGATATACTAAAGTCTATTGAACTTTAAGCAAAATTTTTGATAAAAAAAAGGTGCGTCATATTCAGCATTGTCAAGTGACCAGGAAATTATCTATTTTTTTTTTTGTACAGCACAGGGGGGTTTACGTTACAAAGACCCTTACAAAGGAGTCTTCATTGGGCGACTACACGGTGCACAATCCAGGGTAGGGTGTTTCGTATAACAACAAAAAATTGAGTCCAATAACGAAGAAAGTTCTATGAGAATGTCCAGATAGATTGTTAAAGGAAATGAAAAATGACTCAATAAAAATAAAAATTACAAAAATATTATTAAAGGAACGTCAATTCTATTCTGAAGAGCGAAAGTTTAAGCTTCTAAATCAAATCTAACTATTGCAACCACACCATTGATAATTGTCTTAATTCTGAATACCTATAAATGCACTCGGTGTAAATCTTGCAAGCGCGTGCCAATGTGAACGAGGTATGATGCCACGCAAAACACATTTGGCTTCCCTTGATAACAAAAACTCAAAAGCGAATTTATTTTATTTGCGAGTACAAATTTATGTTAAACCTATATATACAGGAGCCAATCAAACATTAGAACTTAAGTGCTATAGGTTTTCATCACGTGCAATCAATTTTGACGAATTATACTTAGCTTTACAATTTTACAATGAAAGGTGGAAACAAAAATGAGGTGATGTTGAATGTATTCAGCCCGAAAAGCATTTTTAAAATTAATTTACGTTCGTAAATTCTGTAGCCGTTTGATTTACAATTGCATGGTTCGTATCTTTGTCGCACAATTTACAACATAAATATTTTATTTTATTTTTTATTTTTAATAAATAATTTTAAAGGAAATTCTATAATATCTAATTATACCATATTTATATGTATGTGATCTATATTTAAATTTAAAACCTTATCCCACCCACCACGAAAAGTAAATTACAATGTATTAAATTATTATTATTAACCTATGAGCGAAGATCAAAAAAAAAAAAGGATTGCGGAGATTTTTTGACGGTGTGAATCGCGTCCGACTCGAATAAACCAACTGATTTAAAAACCGGAAAAGAGAGTTTTGCTGGTAATTTTAAACATTTCTAATTCCTCCATACCTCTTTCTTGACCTCTCGTTAAGGCCAAATCATAACCCGCGGCCCTAACTCTACTCAAAACAGGATCTCTGGTATCTCTACCTTCACCAAAACTAAACATAAAACTGTCATGTCTAGCCGATATGTTATTACTCCAAACACTACTAATATACATTCCAAAAATTTCTTCCGTCGATTTAATTTTCATCAACATGATGGTTTTAGCTTGTCCCCCACAACGTTGATGTAGGGTTTGTTGGGAATAACCATCACAACTTCCGCGCATCAAAAGGGAAAATTCATAAGGAATCTCTGTATGTGCATATGGTTTTCCTTCTTTTTTATCAATCCAAGTGGCAATCAACGCTGCATGTTTTAATGTTATTAATTTACTATCAATGGTTTTCAATCTTGGTTCAAATGGTGTCGGTTGTATGTCCGGTGATAAAAAATGCCATAATATTGAATCATATAATTTTGAAGGTATACAATCTTTATATGGCCACACTTTCTCCCTGAATTCTGTTGGTTTCATAAGGGTAAATCTGATGAGTGGAACACAATCATCTAAAATCTTTTTAAAGGCTTGCATCGTTTCTGAATCCCATTTAATAGGATCAGTTGAAATTATTGTATTGGATTCACTCGTGATTAATTGTTTTTTTGCCCATCGAATCACATGATTCCACAATTCAATTTCTTCCATCGCTAAATCATCCCGCTTTAACAATGATTTGAGTATGGTCGAATCCATACAATCGAAATATTCACTACAAAAAAGTAATGGCGGATCCGCACAAATGGCTTTTAAACAGTGTTCTTGTAATTTATCGTAATTTAGGTTTGAAAATGCAAATTCCAACACGCGATGAAAATTTTCTTGTACCCACATTGTCCTATCATTAACTAAGGTATCTTGTAATTCATCTACGAATTCCTTCAAAAGTAATTCATCTGATGCTGTCATAAGTGACAAAATGAAGTCCCCATCTTGATTCTCGATTTCGGATTTTCCCGAATACATGTACCTAAAGGAAAGAAAAAAATTTTTTTTTTTTTTAAAAAAAAACAAATTTTCCTTAAAAACATTTGGGGATAAAACTCACTTTAATATAACGTCAAATACCGGAGGAGAGACGTTTGGTTTGTTAAATATAACCTTGCCATCTTTTTTTTTGGCCCACATACTTGAAAGCGCTTTATGAAAATACGATGAATGCGTTCTTAATATAACTTTGTGTGCTTTAAATGATTTCACTAATGGCTCCTGTCCGACGTTGATAACCAAGTCGTATTCGTCACCTTCTTCTAATAATCTGGCAAAATTGAGACTAAAAGTTTTCCAATGTTTACTCATTTTTTTTATATTTCTTGTATTTATTACGCTGATAATTTTTTTTTTTTTTTAAAAAAAAAAAAATTTTCAAAAGATATATGGTACTTATTTCTGGGGGGAAAAAAGGGAAAAAAAAAAAATTTTTTTGATGTTTAATTTCAATCTTTTTATACCGTAGAAAAACTTATGATTTCGTTTCACATACATCAAAAAAAGCATAAGTCCACAGACGTTCATCTGACTTTTGCCTAATATAATAATTCTTTCATTAAGGTTTTCCGAATTATTCCTGATTTGTTCTAGTTTTATTAAGAAACGTCTAAAAGCGTATATATTTGTTTTTTATGTAACCATAACGTCACCCAACAAATAATATATCCCAAATAAAACTATTTATAGTTCACATGATAAACTCTGTGTCATTACTTTTGGTGTCACCTAATGAATTTGTGAGCAATGACGCAGGCATCCTATGGAAGGTAAAAGAAGGAATTCCTATTACACTTTACACTTTTACACATGTCAAAAGCTGATCTTATTCAAAGAAGAAATTTCGTTAATATAAATATAATGATTAAACTATACTGATTTGTTTATGTTAGATCGATTTGCTTCATTTTTTAACAAATTCAAAGAGATGCAGATTTCATGTGTTATTTTGATGATTTTATATGTTAACTTTGTATATTTAGAAATTGATGTTGTAAGGGGAGATGATGAAATTGTTAGAGAATTTCAATCAAACAAAGTCATTACTGAAACTTATAAAGTAATTGTAATAATCAAAGTTAAAGACTCAATTGTATTTCACAATGTTATTTTTTTTTTTGTTTGAAATTATTATGCAACAATATATTAAATAATGTTGAACGAACAAAAGAAAGCAAACAATAAAAAAAAATCTTTAATTTACACCGAAAACATTCTTTATTTTCCTTTGTGGGGTAGTTTAGATAATGGAACGCATTTATCTAATCAAGTTTAACAAATTTTGCCCAAATTTAGTAATAATTTTCAAATCAATCAAATAATGATTTATTTATAAATCTTAATATTTAAAAATTAGTATTATATACTTTTACAAGATTTTTTAATATTCTAAATAAGAGTAAATTATAGTTATAAAGAAAAATACTTTTATCAAAAAAAAGTTAAAACTATTGATTAAATATAATAATATTTATTCTTATTAATTAATAACTTTTATATTAATTTAAATTTAAAATATAAAATTTAATTTTATATATTTTTATAGTATTAAAAACTTAAAAATATTTATATAACTAACTTTAAAATTATGAAATTTAAGTATAAATTGTGTAAAATTTTAAAAATTTAAAAATTTATTTAAAAAAAAATTATATTAATTTTAAAATACTTTTTTTTAATTAAAGATTATTAATTTAATAATTATTAAAAATAACTGAATCTTAAATTTGAACAATGTCCTATATAATATTTTTTTTTCATAATTTTTCAAGTTCTATTATGACAAAATTTGAAAATACTTTATAATTAACATTTTCTTTTAGAATATCTATTCTAAATTATCTACTCAATTATCAGTTTTAATGCAATTAATATGATTAATAAAAGGTTTATTTTTCAAATTAGGAATATATACTTCTACAACTAGTTTGTAAATATTAATAGATGTATAATTATTATTTTATTAATCTTTGTTTATATATAACCATGTTTTTTATGAATACTTTCTTTTAAAATTTTACTATTTTTATTTTTAATATGGTTAATATTAAAATAAAATAATCTATTTCTACTATAAGTAATCAAATCTTCATTTTAAAAAATATATATTTTTTTAAATTTAAATAAATCTCATAGAGTTATCATTTTTTTTATAATAACACTTTATTATTATAAAATTATATTATAATTGATTTTTAATATAGAAAATAACTTTAATGATTAGGTAAGGTTATTCAAACTCTTCTTTAATAAAAATTAATCACATAAATAAATATAACTATTAGCTAAATTGATATAAAAAGAGAAAGTTATCTTGAAATAAAAGAAACAATTAATTTACTAAAATCTTTAGTTTTAAATCCTAAAAGAAGCAAAAATATTTTACCATTAGTTTAATATAACTAATTAGTAAGTATATAATATAAGATATAAAGTATAAACTTTAGATTAGGCTTAAGTTTTAAAAATGATAAATTTAAAAAAATTTCTTTAATTGTCTCTTTATTAATAATAAAAGTATATAATCATATTCAGAATTAAAAGATTCTTAAATAAATAATATTTTCTATTTTTTTATAGGATACCTATATAGTTAGAGTAGAGTAATACTTTAGTAGAAGATTTTTATCAAAAGTAAAGAAAGTATACAAAGCTTTTTAGAATAATGAAAAAAAGTATGATAAATTTATTTATGAATTGTTATCTATAAATCAAATAAAATAAGATTATATAAATTAGATCTTTTTATAGATAAATTAATATATAAATTAGCTATACTTAAAGTATTGGAGAAATTTGTTATATAATTTATTTTTTATTCACTTAAAAATATAATATATAAAATATATTACGAAAATGATCAGAAGAAGAATAACTGATTAAAATATTTATCTAATAATATAAAACTATCATATAAACTTTCAATGACTTAAAGAAAATATTATATAAAAATAAGATCAATAAAGAAGATATAATAAGCATTAAGTAATTTATTTCTAATAAGTGATTACTCTTTATTCTAAAATAGTCCATTATAAATAATAACTTATTTTTTTAGAGTTTTCAAGAAGATCAATAATGATAAAAAATATTTAATCATTATATAAGGATATAATTTTAAAATTTTTAAATATAGAAATAATGATAAATATAAATAAGGTATTATATTATAAATTTATTTCACCAATTCTTTATGTATCTATTACTATAGTTAGAAAACTTATCTCTCAAGATGATTTCATAGAATAGATAATATATATCTCTTTGTCAATAATCTTTAACTGTAGAAAACTTGAATATACTTATATAGATTATTAGTGTTAACTATATTTTAAGTTCTTGAATTATTAATTATGACCTTCATCTACTAAATTACTTTTACCATATTTTACATTAAATTATCAGATAAATTTGAACATATTTTATATAAAAAATATGCATATTGAAAAGGAATAAAATTTTCTGATGATTCATAAGTAGATTTTATTTATTTTTAACTTAAATTTTTTTAGGTTTTTCTCTACTTTTTCTTTTTGGTTTATATTTTAATATTTCAATATCAATATCATCTAAATCATAATTTCAAATAAATGAGTAAAGATAAATTTTATTTATTTGTATAGAATTAATTGCTTTGAATTTAATAAAAAAAATATATATTATGAGAGATTTATTTAGAGAATAAACTTTTAAATAAGTTAAACAAGTAAGATAATTAAAAAGTTAAAGATCATTATAGATAAATTTGCCTGCTTTACAATTGAAGCATATATAGTAATTAAATTTGTAATAAAAAAGAAAATGCATAGTAATCAATATAGCTTATACTTTATAATAATAAAAAAATGAATTTTTACTAATTATGAATGTTTTAATTAATAAAGAATAATGAAAATATTTTTTGTTCATATTTTCTTATTTAAAAATTAAATTTTGCTAGTTAATAAATTCACAGACAAATTTGTTTGCAAAATGGCAACTTTTTGAAGATTTATAAATATTATTATTTTGTTGATCAAATAATGTAAAAATTAGCCTATTTATATAATAATACCTAAAAAATATAATATAAAATTCTTTTGCAGATCTTTATTGTATTTGGTAGTTTATTACATAAAAATCAAAAATTTTAGTGTTTGCAAATAAATTTGCTTGCTCTATTGTTTAAGAGATAATAATAAGAAATAACTATATTCTTAAAATAAATTTCTTAATTTTTTAAAAGAATTTATAGAAATTCTGTTATTTATAAATACAATCTATTAAAGAGAAATTACTATTCATAAATTATCTATAATAATTTTACAAATATTAGTTTTTCTATCTTTATATAAGATTAAAATTTGTTAATTTTTAAAATTATAAGATCTAAAATTCTTTATAAATAGTGTAATTTTATTTTTTTTAATTTAATTATATAACTAATTATAATTTATTTTTAAATATTAATTTTATATATATTAAGTAATTTTAAATAATAAAATTCTTTCAAAAAAAATTGAATATACAGTAGCGGTCATAAGTATTTAACTGCCTGAGATCATTCAAAATTATTATATAACTACCTCTTAAATTTTCTAGAAATATAATGTAATATAATACATGATCACCTGTAAATTTATAAGTATTAATGATACAAAAAAAAAAATTTAGATGATTATCAAACTTTCGCTTGAAAAATGAAACTTTCTTTAGAAAAATGATATGAATTTGTCTTTTTACGTGAATATCCAACTGGTTCAAAGTTTAGTTTTGGATTTATTGCTAAATAGGTATATTGTAGTAAGTTTACAGCTATTTATTAGGTTAAAAAATATCATGAAAATTGGGATTTAAGTACTTCAGAAAGACCAGGCGACCTTGTATAATATCTATAAAACAAGATGATAAGATTGTAAAGATGGCAGAGAAAGAACATAATATAATAGCCATTCAAATACAAGAAAAAATAG